AGTTATTTGTTTAACTAGGCAGCAAAGTAGTAGATTGACTGCCGTGGCTGAATTCATAGCCGAGCGTAGCGATAGAAATCGCAGTTGTTGGTTTGACAATTCATGAAATTTCTGACAGTTGTGCGAAAAAATATCGGTATATTTAAATTATTACCTATATAATAGACAGTGATAGCGACCTGGAAGTATACTTACACCTCCATTGATAAGGGAGGTGGCAAAAAATATAGAGTTGAATTTGTTGCCGGAGAAGTCTCGGATGAAATATGAAGAAAATTATAAACGATCTATGGATTTTTAATTTTGCTGATACATATCGATCAGCAAAGTGGCCACTTTGCTGCCTAGGCAGGAAAAGTAATACTTTGCTGATTGATATGTGTCAGCAAAATTAATATTTGCTGCCAATCGGAGGAAAAAAATATTTCAACAAGGAAAAATCGTACTTCAAAGAAGCTTGGCCATTCTATAGGCAAACACGTTCTGCTAAAGAGTTGTTCGACATATTTATATGTTTTTTCATGTTCCTGTTCCCACGAAAAGGGATAACCTGTAATGTTCAGAGAACATCGTGAGAACCAAGGGAAATAAGGTAGGAATTGGTGTTCGATCTTCTTAAATTTCTGAAGGTTATATGCCTCGGGGAACACATCCCTTGACAGTGTGTTACAGAGCCTCGCTGTTCGTTGGATGAACGGGTTTGTGGAAAGAGATGTTGACGACAAAAGGATATGCTGACTATTGTTATCATATTCATGGACATCATGCCATCTGGGAGTACTTAGATGATTAAGATATCATAACCCATCACAGTTTTTCGTCATCTATGCATAATCCTCGACAGATAATGACGACATGTTTGAAATATAGATCAAAATCAAGGGACACGTTTCGTGAGGGGTGCGAATTTATTTTTAATCCTTCATTATGTCGCTACCCTGCTGCCACGCATATGCCCTATGGACTTGCCGCGCTCAACCCCATTCCATGAATGACAATTGGACGATTTCGAGCGGGATAATTGTTGTGTCGTTTGACCCCTTTGTTGTCGAATAATGAAGTGTTGCCATAGCTACAGATAATTTCGTCACCTCTTATCAGCATCGTTGATTGAGAATTATACGTAAAGCATCATTCCAAATTTTTTGGGATTTTCTCTCTTCGTTTCTATAATATAAAAAAAATGGATATTATTTCAATATACAGGGTTTCTATAAATGATCGTAACATCGTAGTAGCCGTTGAAATATTTCCTCCATTTGCCGCCTTCCATTTATGGAGATTCACACATTCGAATTTAATTTCTGACATCAATCATTATACTGTCATAGCTGATGAACTTACAATTGTCAGTTTTTCGTTAAAACTCTCAAACGATTCTGTTTTCTACTTCGTGATTGTCGTGTTGAAATTAGGAATGGCTTATTCCTCGAAGCAGAATACATTTAATGTAATGTCTTATTGTCGAAATGGCACATTCATCAATGGTGGATGGAGTTATACTCGGTAGTAGCCTGCAAGGATGAGTACCTGGCGAAATATCCTAATGTACAGATTCAAGAATCTTCTTTGAAAGCCCATATCAGAACAGTGATCAACAGATTCATCCAAACTGGAAACGTTAATGAAAAGAAATCAACAGGAAAGCCCCAAATATCGGAAGAAGTAGTCGAAAATCTAAGGACGCGTTTTGAGCAAAATCCCCCAACGTCATTAAAGAGATTATCATTACAATCTGGTGTGCCACTATAAGTACTTGCCATAAAGTGCTCATGAAAAGATTACATATGCACCCTTACAAGACCAGTGTACTACAGCAACTTCTGCCAATAGATATCCCACGTCGTCTGCAGTACTGCCAATGGTTCCAAAATAATCTCAACGATGACCAGCTATTGGATCTAACATTTTTCAGCGATAAGGCTTGGTTTCATTTGTCGGGATACGTGAACTCACAAAATTTTAGGTTTTGGAGATCTGAGAATCCCCACAATTTCATTGAGACTCCACTACATTCTCAAAAAATCGGGGTGTGGTTAGCAGTTTCTCGTAGGCGAATATATGGACCGATTTTCTTCGATGGCACTATCAATGGTGAAAGTTACAGACAAGTGGTGTTAGAACCATTCATAAATCAACTTGATGATGAAGAAATTTGAGTTGGCTATTTTCAGCAAGATGGGGCCACTGCCCACACCACACGTGCAAATTTAGAATATTTACAAGAATTTTATGACAACCGTGTGATAAGTCGAGGAGTTAATCCTTCATTTCCAACACGTTCTTCAGATTTGACGCCTTTGGATTTCTGTCTTTTTGGATATTCGAAAGACGAAGTATTCAAGAGAGACAATAATAACCTTGAGGCTTGAAGAGCTGCAAGCCTCAATAACACATTGCTGCCAAAATATTGGCCCGGAAATGCGGAGGAACATATATTTTCGACAACAAACTGCAAAGAGTTTTGAAATGCTTGGAAAACAACGGAGAACATTTTGAACATCTGATGTAGGTTAATGAAATGAACCGTTGCTTCTTTAAGAAATATTCATGATTTGTTCCATTATTTTTCAAACTCCAATATTGGACTCTCCTTTCTTTGAGATACATTTCCATAGTGTATGCAAAACGATATTGAAAAAGATCCTTTATATGATCACTTCACCTCTTTTTGGTCGTCAAATGTTGTTAACAGCATTAGTAGAAAGCGGCAAATGGAAAAAATTTCAACAGCCACTACGATGTTACGATCATCTATAGAGACCCTGTACGTGTAGTAGGGACAAATCAGATCATTCGCCCCAGAATGTCTCTGCGTTTAAAGAATTTTTCCTATCAGAGAGCCTAAAAATAATCACTAGCTTGTCACTGACAATTTGTATTGAAAAAAGTTTGGAGAAGAGAAATAAAAATATCAAATTTTCACTTATCTTTGGACGTTTCGGGACCGATTCGGCTCCCGTTTTCAACCTAAGAAAAGATTATTTTAATAGCGAAGTCGTATCTGTCTTTAAGCTTTTCAGTTTTCATTGAAAATTGATGACGTTGGCAATCAAATGAGTTACAGGATGTTTTCATTAATTAATCTTGAATTTACCATTGTCATGTTCAAGAAATCTGCTTGCATTCTTCTGAACGGAGACAATAGCATTGCTTCTTGTTCAGTTGATATAGACAGAACATGGTATTCTCTACTAAAATCTGAACATGAAAATGGTAAATTCAAGATTAATTAATGAAAACATCCTGTAACTCATTTGATTGCCAACGTCAACAATTTGTCCCTAAAACCTGAAAAGCTTAAAGACAGATACGACTTCGCTATTAAAATAATCTTTTCTTATGTTGAAAACGGGAGCAGAATCGGTCCCAAAACGTCCAAAGATAAGTGAAAATTTGATATTTTTTCTATATACCTTTATTTCTCTTCTCCAAACTTCTTTCAATACAAATTGTCACTGACAAGCTAGTAAATTTTTCTTTTAGGCTCTCTGATAGGAAAATTCTTTAAACGTTGTGACATTTTGGGGCAAATCATCTGATTTGTCCTTACTACACGTATATTGAAATAATATCCATATTTTTATTTTATAGAAACGAGAAAAGAAAATCCCAAAAAATTTGTAATAATGAATGTACCACCTCCTCGAATAACCTACCGACAGTAGTTATACCTAAAGCAATTTTAGTAGATAGATTTTCGATGTCCTCACGGGATATCTCACTCATTTTTAACAATAGAGATTTGCTGTTTTCGAGAAACTTGGCTACTTCTTTGCGAACCTCACGATAGCGTAAACAACATTTTCATAGCCCGCTTCGTTCTTGAGATACAGGGCGAAATTGGGAATGTTGCATTATGGAACTCCCCCTGTAATTCAGTTATCTTTCAACTATCCTATACATTTTTTACGTAGAATATAGTTGCCTTGTCAAATTTTTGAAATAAACTGTTATTATCAAGATATAACCCAAAGTCATGTTTTCAAACATTTTTTACGTAGAATATAGTTGCCTAGGCAGATTTTCGAAATAAGCTGTTATTATTAAGATATAACCCAAATTTATGTTCTCAAATAGAACACTCTGCTTATTTTTTTATGTTCAAAACATCGATGCTTGCACGTTTCAAAAATACGATATTTTGGGTATTAGCCTTGTGTTTAGATAATTATCAGTTTTAGTAGATCTCTGATCGATGCGCCTGGTAAATATGTGGCAACATTTTCCTTATCACAAATGTTCAATAAGGTGAATTATTGCTGGATACCAGCACATTGTTTCATCACATGCTTTTTTCAATTTTACCAACATTCAACATTTACCAATATTCAGCACTATTTATTGACTATAAAAGCTGTGGATCTAAGAAGTAGAAACAGGTGCGGAACGTGTTATATTTCTTCTTATACCTATATACCTGTCGAATCTCTGAATTTTTCATAGATTATTGGCGAATAATAATCCAATCCACCTATCTGTTGCATTAAATACCTTGAAATTGAAATAAAAATTAATCTATTCAACTACGAATTACCCATCTCCTGTGTGTAACAATGTGTTACATTCAATCAATTATCATTTGCCCTAGAGTTGAATAAAGTATTGTTTTTTTCCAGAATTCATGAAAATAAAATCTTCAGATATGACTTGTTATTCAAATTTTATCCGATTATTTTTCTATATCATCACCAACCTTACTGTTAACTAGTGTTACATTGAGAAAAATGCCAATGGTGTGTGAAGTCTGTTGTGACGCCGATACAAATGAAATTGAGAGTATTTGTAAGTTTGATCGAAGTTGACTCAAAAAAAGACGGAGATATGTGATCGCTTCTTTTCTAGCGTAAATATTATTAAAATATCTATTATTGGGACAGCCTGTACATCAATTTGGAGACCCGATCTGACATCTGGAAAGAATTATGAGTGCTGTTTCGATGTCATTTAAGAATTTCATGTGACTTTTCTAATTAGCAGGCTCAAATAAAAATAACTAGAAATGACTGAAGAAATAAAAGAATCTAAAGATTCGGAACGAGAACAGGGCCTCGAAGATTTTATTATACCTAAAATTGTTAGTTCCATAAGAAATGAATGCCATAACATATGCCACGACCTCAACAATCTCAAACTAAACATCGAAGAAAGACTGACCATCCTAGATAAAAACGACGAGAAGATGACCATGTTGAATTATAGAATGTACCAAATTCGATACGATTATTCAACGAAAATCCGCAATTTCCTCAAACGAAAAAAACAACTAGAAACCACCGAAGGACAAGAATCTGAGATATCTTTGAGCTTGATCGGAAAAGAAATCGAAGAATGCGAGCAACAGCATCAGGTACAACACAGTACCACCAAGAGGCAAATGGTGGAAGCCCAAGAAGAATACGAAGAAACTCTCAACATACTGGACAACACCTTGGATGCAATGAAGAAAAAACTTGAAAATTTGCTGCTCTTAATGGAAGCTCGCAATGCGGAAACTGGCACACCAGACATTATGGAAGATACTGCACTCATATCCCAGATGAAGGAATACGAGCACTTCATAGACTACTACACAGAAATACAGACTGTCGGATGGAGCAGAAGAAAGAACATAAAAGAGCCGACTGATGTGAACGGTTTGATGTTCACCGACGAAGGCCTATTGGCTACAAAGTCCGGCCAAGAACTGTCTTACCAAGAAGCCCTCGACCAGAATTTACTGACCAATATGCACCCCATATTCTCCTCCGTGAAATTGATCAACACCCCGGAACAGGGCTCTACTTCTTTAAGCGAGAGCAGAAGCAGTAGGAGTTCTGATAGGAGCAAGATGAGCTCTGAAGATGTAGCGTACCTCAAAGAGAACCTGGGTACGCCACTGACCTTGGCTCTGGCTGAAATATCGGCGGTGCAACCACGGGATCCTATCCACTATCTGGGACACTGGCTGTTCAAGTACAGATATAACGAAGAGGTGAGAGATGTTCAGAGGATAGAAGTTGAACAACTGACTGAGGCTAGGGACAAATTGGCGAAAGAAAAATGGCATGCGTTTGTGGAAAAGGAAGCTAAAGCTGCTGTTTTCGATATGATTGCTAAGGCTGAAGAGGAAGCGTTAGAAAATGAACTACTCAGGATAGAGAAAGAACTCGCTGATCAAGAGGAAGAAGACTTGGATTATGAAGCTAGGGACAAATTCGATGCTTTCGGTGGCGATGTCCCAATTTAGTCTACAGTACCAGAGCATATCTAATTTCATATCCTCCTTACAAATACAGAATATCTTAATCTTTGAAGCTGTTCATTGAATTTTTTTCACAAATTGAATAGTGAAGTAGTGTCGAAATATTATGATTCAAACTGAATTCGTGCTCATCTTTTACATGCGCGAAAAATCTCACTTTCCACAAGACTTGTGCCATATACTTTTTTGAAGTTCGACTCTTTTTCCTCAAATATAGTACAAATAACAGATCATTAGTGCCTAAGTACCCGCAGCGAAGTCTATCCTGTTGCCAGTACTTTCTTAAAATGAATACCGCTCATTTTATTTCGCCCTGTCCATTTCAATGCTCATTCCGAGACATAAAGTGTGATTCAATTGAAGCGATAATTACATGAACTCAAATTGATTATTACGGGTGCGGTTCGTTGAAGAACCCTTCTAGTTATCCCAGTGGCGTAAGGAAGAACATAAAAGAGCCAACTGATGTGGACGGTTTGAAGTTCACCGTCGAAGGCCTAATGGCTACAAAGTCCAGCCAAGAACTGTCTCACCACGAAGCCCTCGACCAGGATTTGCTGAACAATATGCACCACATATTCTCCTCCGTGAAATTGATCGACACCCCGGAACAGGACTCTACTTCTTTGAGCGAGAGCAGAAGCAGTAGGAGTTCTGATAGGAGCAAGATGAGCTCTGAAGATGTAGCGTACCTTAAAGAGAACCTGGGTACGCCTCTGACCTTGGCTCTGGCTGAAATATCGGCGGTGCAACCACGGGATCCTATCCACTATCTGGGACACTGGCTGTTCAAGTACAGATATAACGAAGAGGTGAGAGATGTTCAGAGGATAGAAGTTGAACAACTGACTGAGGCTAGGGACAAATTGGCGAAAGAAAAATGGCATGCGTTCGTGGAAAAGGAAGCTAAAGCTGCTGTTTTCGATATGATTGCTAGGGCTGAAGAGGAAGCATTAGAAAATGAACTACTCAGGATAGAGAAAGAACTTGCTGATCAAGAGGAAGAAGACTTGGATTATGAAGCTAGGGACAAATTCGAGGCTTTCGGTGGCGATGTTCCAATTTAGTGGTACCGTACCAGAGCACTTGTAATTTTATATCGTCCTTACAAATACAGAATATCCTAATCTTTGAGCATGTTTATTAAATTTTCGGACCAATTTCCTAGTGAAGTAGTGTCGAAATATTATGTTTCAAACTAAATTCGTGCTCAACTTTCACTCGCGCGAAAAATCTCACTTTTGAGTAGGGGAGAGATGTTCAGAGGATGGAAGTTGAACAACTGATACTGAGGCTAGGGACAAATTGGCGAAAGAAAAATGGCATGCGTTTGTGGAAAAGGAAGCTAATGCTGCTGTTTCCGATATGATTGTTAAGGCTGAAGAGGAAGCATTAGAAAATGAACTACTCAGGATAGAGAAAGAACTCGCTGATCAAGAGGAAGAAGACTTGGATTATGAAGCTAGGGACAAATTTGATGCTTTCGGTGGCGATGTTCCTATTTAGTGGAATACGAGGTGGAATAGTACCAGAACACATGTAATTTTATATCCTTCTTAAAAAATACAGAATATCTAAATCTTTCAGGATGTTCATCAAAGGACCCCGCACTTTTAGTACGTAAAATGGTTCTCGGTGAAATTTTCTGAATTTTCAGTATGTTGTAGAATTCGATGAACTGATTGAACCTGCAGAATCGTAAAGTTCTTTGATGAACAGATTCTGAGATACAGGGCGCATATTGCTCAACATAATTCAAATGGTTCAGATAATGTAATTGTTTACAGAGTGAAACATATAAACATTTCAGTGATGTCTGAAAATTCGATGTAATAATGAAATATCGAAAAAATAATGTAGGCATGCAATATACTATTCTCATTCCATCATGAATCACAATTCATACGTTTCATACAGGGTGATTTGAAAAATTGGTGACACCTAAGACCGATTTATTCATACAGATCCTGTATATTCGAGTGAATTGTTAATCTCCCAAGATAGTTGATACCGTATGAACATGATTTCGTTGAGATATATAGGGTGATCATGAAGATTTTCGATGATGAAAATGACAAAAAATCGTGTTTTTTGAAATCACCCTGTTATTCATGATTAACTCGGTGAAATTCCCTAATTATTTTTTCATATATTCATCATTCGCTCCTCAACGCTGTCTTGAAAATTCAGTTTCCTATCATGACGGGTGTCATAGTTATTAATTCAGGAACCTACCATTTGCATGAAGAGTTGAAGAGACTTGTTCACTTACATTCGCATAGTGGCCGATATTTTGCACAAATAGTGAAACGTGAGAATGTGGAGACGAAAATAAGTTTGGTATTCATATACAGGGTGAACATTAGAAATTCAAAAACAATAGCAGATATATGAATTTAATAATATTATTATAACGTACAGATAGTTAGGCGAATTTTTAATGTTCACCCTGTATATGAATACTAAACTTATTTTCGTCTCCACATTCTCACGTTTCACTATTTGTGAAAAATATCGGCCACTATGCGAATGTAAGTGAACAAGTCTCTTCAACTCTTCATGCAAATGGTAAGTTCCTGAATTAATAACTATGACACCCGTCATGATAGGAAACTGAATTTTCAAGACAGCGTTGAGGAGCGAATGATGAATATATGAAAAAATAATTAGGGAATTTCACCGAGTTAATCATGAATAACAGGGTGATTTCAAAAAACACGATTTTTTGTCATTTTCATCATCGAAAATCTTCATGATCACCCTATATATCTCAACGAAATCATGTTCATACGGTATCAACTATCTTGGGAGATTAACAATTCACTCGAATATACAGGATCTGTATGAATAAATCGGTCTTAGGTGTCACCAATTTTTCAAATCACCCTGTATGAAACGTATGAATTGTGATTCATGATGGAATGAGAATAGTATATTGCATGCCTAAATTATTTTTTCGATATTTCATTATTACATCGAATTTTCAGACATCACTGAAATGTTTATATGTTTCACTCTGTAAACAATTACATTATCTGAACCATCTGAATTATGTTGAGCAATATGGAGGTTCGTTGACGATATGAGCGGAAAAAATTGTACTTGGCATCTTTGAATTTCGAGAAAATAATTAAATGAAAAATACCGATTTGTAACTTCAACGCCCTGTATCTCAGAATCTGTTCATCAAAGAACTTTACGATTCTGCAGGTTCAATCAGTTCATCGAATTCTACAACATACTGAAAATTCAGAAAATTTCACCGAGAACCATTTTACGTACTAAAAGTGCGGGGTCCTTTTTTCACAAATTGCCTAGTGAAATAGTGTCGAAATATTATGTTTCAAACTAAATTCGTGCTCATCTTTTACTCGCGCGAAAAATCTCACTTTCCACAATAGCTATGTCAAATACTATTTTGAAGTTCAACTCTGAAATATTGTACAAATGACAGATCATTAGTACCCACAGCGTAGTCCATCCTGTTGCCAGTTCTTTCTTGAAATGAATACGACTCATTTTATTTCGCCCTGTCCATTTCAATGCTCATTCCGAGACGTAAATTGTAATTGTATGATGACATTCAATTGAAACGATAATTACATCAACTCAAATTGATTATTACGGGTGCGGTTTGTCGAAGAACCCTTCTAGTTATCCCAGTGGCGTACTTAAGACACTTTCTCATCATGAGAAACCTGAAATCTCAAATCTAAGAGATTCAAGGAAAATTTCGTGAATTGATTATCAGCTGATGCAGGACAGACTGTTTCGACTTGCCAAGACTCATCAGTTGCACTAGGCCCGCTGACAATCGATTCACAAAGGTTACTACAAAGCATGATTGTTCAAACAATCTGCTTATACACCTTTGTACTTTTGCCACTAGATGGCTCTAAGTACTAGATCGTCCTCCTACCCTTCGGGGAATTTGATCAAGATCCTTTTAGCCCAACACTCGACGAAATTCATGAAAAATGATGTATTATTAGTTCAGCATTATCAAACGTTGACAGCTAATGTGATTTATAGAATGAAAAACTTTCGATAGTTGGGCTCGTTATCAAATACATAATCAACAGGGAATAACAAAAGTTAATCTTTTATCCTTAACTTCTCGACGCCCTGTGGCGGAAGTGAGTGGTCAAACTTAGCTTCATGTCAAAAGGAAGAAGGAAAGCTCAAAGTCATGACCTTGAGCTTTTCTTCTTCCTTTTCAAATATTCCACTCCACTTTGAACAAACATGGACTTTTACCAGAGATTAGCTTCATGTTTTGGATTGAAGTGTGAACACAATTTTTTTTTGATTCACGTGAATATTTTATTTGTAAGGGAAGATACAAGTGTTTCAAGAAAGTATGAAATTTTTCTATTTTTATTAACAATAATTCAGAACCCATAAAGCATCTTCGGGATGGCCTCCAGAGGCGCATTCTTCGTCTTCATTCGTCCTTGCTAATTCCTCAAGAAGTTTTTTATTGGTGAGTGCTGGGAAAACGAGATGGAAATAAGCGATATTACATTTTCGATGTGTTTTTGAGTTGTAAATCAATAAGCTCATATAGGTAGGTTCTGAATTATAGTTCATTAAAATAAAAAATCATACTTCTTTAAAACACTTGTATCTTCTCGTAAATATGACATATTGATTGTTTATTCATTCTCTTTTGCCACAGGTCGTTAAAAGGTCAAGGGTGAAAGAGTTACTTTTGTTTTTTCCGGTATAATAATCAAGCCATCAGCTCTTCTTGGGAACTGAATAAAATCCAGGCCAACATTCCGAAACATAAATCTACTATTTGGCCGAAATTTCACCGAAATCGGATAAAAATTAAGAAAGTCACATGGTTTTTGTCTGGCCGGTATTTTTTGCTGGTGAGTGTATTTCAAGAAATCCTATACATTTTAGATAAATGCGAAAAAATTGAGAATAATTTCCCAGCCAGCACAAAAACATCTCAGAGATGTTAAAAGTACGAGATTTCGAGACATTGAACCTCCACTGCGATGTTCTGTTCCCACATGAATAGAACTATTATAGAACAGCCAATGTCCGCCGCAGGCGGCAATTATCGAGATGTCCTTGATATGTCACAAAACTACCTTCTCCCTAGTTCTTTTTAAAGCCTTTTCATGGACACAACAAAACATTTTCAACGCGTCTTGCGCACATTAAATCGCTGTAAAAAAACATTTTTGAGGTACTTTTCTGAAGCCTTTTGTCAAAATGAACTTTTGCATTAGGATTCCATTTGCCTTGAATGCAAAAATGCATTGAAAATAGATTGAACATAAAAATATTTTCTTGATATGAAATTACCTTCTTAATCGGTTTCTGAGTAGTGCTTACTACACACAGACATATAATTGGAAATATGTTTCCCAATTTCTGAAATGTTCTCCACAATGCATAATTTTGCAACTGCGGAGAAGCTGTGTATTGATAAATTCGTACTTTTATATATTGATTACACTGAGGCACCGAACAACATATCTTGCATCTGATGGTTATTATTACAAACTAAATAAGTCTTCTAACACAATAAACTTCACCAAATTCCTTTCTGTTCGTTAGCAGCGTGATGTAAGCGTGACACGTTGCAAACGCGAATGCCAATTGCGAACAAGAAGCAAAATCGAAAACAAATCAGAATTCATCGTATTGTGACGTAAGCATGAGACGTTGTGGTGGGGCAAACAAAGAAAAGGCACAAAAGAACAAAAACAATACTTTCAATATCCTTCTAAGACCTCTTTGGGAAGTGCATATTACGCCTCAAAAAAACATCCTCATGCCTACATTTCTAAAACATCCCCCAAAACATCTCAGGGATACCTCTCAGTAGGCAAACAAAGAAATGCCACAGAAGAACAAAAACAATACTTCAATATCCTTCAAAGACCTCTTTGGTCAGTGCATATTACGTCTCAAAATAACATTTTCAAAACATCCCAAAACATCCCAGGGATGTTTGTGCTCGCTGGGTTGCTTACCTGTGCTTGATGCATTTTAGTTCGTCCGCCACTGGTTATGCCACTGGATATCTTGGAGACATTTATTTTAG